TTTGTAGATTAACCCTTTAAGCAATTTAAGGTTTACAAATATTTTTCCTATTCTGCATGTTACCTGATCTTTTTTGTTGTTTGTTTCTCTTGCTGTGCAGAAACTTTTTAGTTTACCATGCTTCCACTTGATTTTTGCTTTTGTCACTTGTGTTTTGGAGTCATATACAAAAAACCTTTACTACCATCAATGTCAAGGAGCTTCTTTTGTATGTTTACTCCTATAAGCTTTACAGTATCATGTCTTATATTAAAAACTTACACCATTTAGAGTTCATTCTTGTGAGTGGTTTAAGATAGGGGCTCAATTTATTTTTCTGCATGTAGTTATCCAGTTGTCCAACACCATTTATTGAAGAGACGATATGTTGGGGTCCATCCCCAGCAGATCCAGGCTTTCCCAAAGGTGTGGATGGAGTCAGCGAAGAAGGAATGACATGGAGGCAGCTTTCAGTTGATCAGCATAGTTGGTTCTCCAGCCAGGTTCTCTAGCCAGGTTCTGTTTTTATTGTCCTGTTACATCTGTATTTATACCAGTTGATTTTAATTCTATCCATTCTATTCCAAAGGTTAGGGCATTTGTTAATCTAGTTCTGTTGAGTTTAATCCTATCAATTCTATTTCAAAGGTTAGGGTGTTTGGTAATCTAGTTCTGTTGACTTTAATCCTGTCTAGGTTAATCTCTGTGTTCCATTATAAGGGCTATTCCAAGGTCACTGCTCTACTGATAAGCTACAAGGAAGGGACTGAAGGAGATTATCCTATCCAGCAAAGGTTATGTCCTCTCAGCCTCCCTGCTTGCCTTCCCTGGGACTGCCCTGTGTCGGTGGGTCTCCAGGGGTATAGGCTTTGGTGCTTTCCCTGGTGGGCAGACCCCTGGGTATGTGGGCCCAACAAGTCCCAAATTTAGTCCAAGTTCTTCATAAGCAGTACATGGTATTTCTGTAACACTAGAGGGTTTCACTGATTTATTCTCTTCCTTAGTCCTGTTAATCCCTAACTCCAGGGAAAAAATCCCCACCTGGGGAAGCAACCTTTCTTGGAGAGGTGACCTTGGTTAAAACACATAGCGCTAGAAGGGGAGCAAACACATTAAGAACAGTATGCCATATATGCCAGGTCCCTTGAAACATATGCTGTGCAGATGTTTCTTCCCTGCAGTGACTGTGTCAAGCAGCAAGGATTGACCTGCTTCCAGCAACAATCCTTTCTCTATTGAGTGTTTTTTACTCCTATGTCTAATATTAGTTGACCACATATGTAGAAGTTTAATTCTTGGCTCTCTATGCTGTTTCATTGGTCTAGGTGTCTATTTTTATACCAGTACCATACTGTTTTAATTACTATAGTTTTGTAGTATAGTTTGAAAGCAGAAATTGTAATGCCTCTGGCTTTGTTCTTCTTTCTCAGGATTATTTAACCATTTGGGGGTTTTTATGGGGCCACACAAATTTTAAGGTTGTATTTTATATTTCTGTGAAAAAATGCCATTGGGTTTAGGATAAGGATTGTGTTTAATCTATAGATGGTTTTGAGTGGTCTGGACATTTTAACAGCATTAATTCTTCTAATCCACAAGTATGAGATATCTTCCATTTGCCTGTGTCTTTTTCAATTTCGTTCATCAAAGCTTTGTGGTTTTCATTGCATAGATTACTTCCCTGGTTAAACTTGTTCCTAAGTGTTGTTTTTGATACTACTGTGAATGAAATAGTTTTCTTTATTTTTCAGATGTTTCATTGTTGATGTATGAAAACACAACTGATTTCTGTATGCTGATTTTACATCCTGCAATTTTACTGAATTCATTAATTGGTTCCAATGGTTTTTTGGTTAGTCTTTAGGAATTTTAAGTATAAAATCATATTGTCGGCAATTATAACAATTTTACTTCTTCATTTCCAATTTGGATGGCTTTTATTTCTTTGTATTGCCTAATTGCTCTAAAACTTTCAGTACTATGTTGAATAAGAGTAGTGAGAATGCACCCTAGTTTAATTCCTGATGTTTTATTTAAAAAGCTTCCAATTTTCCACCATTGAGTCTGTTAGTTGTGATTTTGTCATAGATTGCCTTCATTATGGTGAAGCGTGTTCCTTCTATATACAATTTATTAAGAATTTTTAACATAAAAGAATATTATAGTATAGCAAATGCTTTATTTGCTTCTATTATGATCATGTGATTTTTCTGTTATTCTATTAAGATGATGTAATATAAATTTTTAAAAATTCAGTTTTCATTTACAGTTGACATACAATATTATGTTAGTTTCAAATGTAATAACATATTGATAAGATACATATACATTATAAAGTGCTCAAACAGCATTCTGCTTATGTTTTCTTCTAGGCGTTTTGTTTTCAGGTTTTGTATCCAATTTTTTAAACTGGCTTAAGTTTATTTTTTATATGGCCTAAGAAATTGGTTTAGTTTCATTTTTTTACATGTATCTGTCCAGTTTTTCCAACACCTTTTAATGAAGAGACTGTTTTTACACTATATTCTTTCTTCCTTTGTTATATGTTAGTTGAACACAGAGTAAATT